GCGCGGGAATGCTTCTGGAAATTGCGTTGGTTCCGAATGCGCTCACTTCCCAAGTCTATTAGACTCAATATGTCGAAGTCATGCAATTTCTCAAGCAACAAGATGATGTCGACTCAGGAGTCATGCACACCTCATCCCGGTGAGCGGGCAAGGAGATATCATCTAAATCCGCCCAAGGCGTTGCGTTAAAGCCGACGGTTTATAGTATCTTATCGGTATCTACTTTTATACCTACTCATTTTCTCTGTGTTGACTCATATTCCAGCTTGGTAATTGCAATGGGAAGACACAAGCACCTTACCTCATCGCTTCCAGATAGTAGTCGAATCGAATACAGTCACGTTATATTCCTCGGATCCGGGTCAGAATAAATGGATTACACTTGTTCATGATGAGGAGTTGTGAGTCATTCTTATTGAACTCATCTCTTGGCGAGGAGAGAATGTTCCTCTTGTCCGATAGGACGTCGATCGACATAATAAGAGCAATGAGATTGGAGAGTGACCTCAAGAGTCTTGCTGCCTCTAGACCCCGCTCCTACCCTCGCTTTCATGGCACCCATCCACTCGTTACCCTTGGACCTTGTCACTGACATACTTGATCTAGTATTCGCTGACTACCCGAGGAGAAAAATTGGGAGGGTTGGTCACGATGCGGCCTGGAAGCTACCCACCCAAAATTCACTTGACCGGATGATGAGCCGACCCTCGTTCAAGACAAGGAGCAAATATGTTTTTACAATCCCTTTTTTCTAGGACCCATCACCCAGGGAACTCCTTTGGGAATCAACAAACACTGAGCGCTCTCTTTCGCCATCCCTAACACAAATACATCGAATTCAACTGGTCTGGTGACTTTGATCTCTGATACCCACTAAATTGTTAATTGCTACAGGCGTTCTGCTCGGTCGCTTGATGGGGGCTTTGACCGCAACCTTCTATCCCTTCTCGGACTGATAACCCTCGACTCGAAAGAGCGGTTACCTACCGTGTTCCGGCACACCATAGATTTAGTGGAAACACGACTTCGAGGCCATTTGACTTGGAAGGGTGGTGTGTCATTTGAAGTGTAGAGTTTGTGGAAGGTACAGAGCTCATGTAAATGTATCTGCTGCAATAAGACAGAATGTATCATGAAGAATAAAAGAATTGAAATGTTATCTCGTTTTTATTAGTAAACTATCGTGCATTTACTAGTCGAGTTCATGGTGGGATTAGACGCTTCTTGTTCCTGACCACTTCCACTGGCCATTCCATGCCTGAGACGTTATGTCGTTACCTTTAGAGCTTCTCATTCCAATAGTGGAATTTGCACTGGAGGATCATTCAGACTATCAGTATGGTAGGATCGGCCATAATGCCGCTTGGAAGATGCCAAGACCAAATACTCTTAGCCCACCGCCCATCCAGAATTCAAGACCGGATGCTGGACCTTTCAACCGCAATGGATCCAATGTCGACGATGAGATCAAGACGACCGGTCGTGCTATTTCGGACGCCGGAAACGCAAACAAACCATTGACAGGTTTCCATGTTATCGCAACGGCCCTCCGATTGTACGTGGTTACTATCACAAGGCCCACGTCCACTTATCTTTCTATTAGGGTTTGTCGCACATTCAACAAGATTGTTATTCCTATCTTGTATAGGGATATCTCACTTCTTGTGGATAGGAAGTATCTCCCAAGCATGAATACAATTCTGAACCAATATTTCCTCCCTCATGCGCAATATATTCAGTCGCTCTACATATGGGGGAATCATCCCGATTCATTGGAGGAGTGTAATGTAAGAATCCTACAAGAATGTGTAAATCTGACCTCCCTTGGCCTGTATTTCGTTCGACTTTCCTCTATGAATGAAGAGTGGAAAAGGGTCCAAGACGCAGTAGTGTCTCTTATAGAAGGAGGAAAACTGACGCACCTAGGCCTCTACTCTCATAATATATTCCAAGGTGGAGTTGGCCCTTTTCGTGAATATGGGGCCAACGAAATGATCAAGGCCATCTATACCTCAGAAACGGCCCGTTTCCATCTCAAGGGCGTCGACGTAACTTTTACGTGGCTTGATGAAGCCCAGCAAGTTCTATCCGGATTCCCTAACCTGGAATCACTCTCAATTCAACAGACACTCTTCATTCGTCGATTGAGGTTGTGGAGACCTCTCGCACTTCTGACAAAACTACAGATATACAACTGTTCAGGAATTTTGGCATCAGATATTCCAGATTTAATCCTATCATTCCCGGCTTTACGTACACTGATGGTGTCGAAAGTCTCACTGGTAGACCCCGAACTCCCCTTCCATGTTGGATTTCCCAAGGGTTGGCATCTCTTTCCGAATGCAATCTGCAATACTCACCAGCAGCTCGATTTGATCCACATTGACTATTTAAGCCGGAAACAGATAGAATTCATTGGTTTGATACCTACAAGGATCCTGGTTGCCACATCCATCAACCCACCCGAATTGATGCTGGCGTTGACCGCAGATCTACACTACTTTCCAGGATTGAAGATCCTCCAACGTGGTGTGTGGGCCCGTTACGAAGGAATTGATCCCGACACAGCTTCTCCAGAAGTGTCTTTGAACAAGTGGTGCGCCGCCCGTAATGTAGAGGTGGTAGAAGGTGCAGAGCCCGTACATAATTGTACTTATAAACCGTGACATATCTCATGCTTCCTTGTGGAATTAAATCTTCATTTCATTCTATGAGCTAGTTATTGTGCATTTGCTGGGCAAACGGGTCCATGGTTCATTTCACAGGTGGTGCGATCTTCCTTGCTTCGACCACGTCCGGTTGAGTTGACCACCTCATACTATGGGGTCCATGCCATTACCACCAGAGCTTCTTATTCAGATCGTGAAGTTCGCATTGGTAGATCATTCAGGGGACCAGTTTGGTAGAATTGGCCACAATGCCGCGTGGAGGATGCCGAGACCAAACGCGCTCGACAAGTTGTTAGCCCAAGACTCGAGAATCGACAATACGATTGCGACTACGTTTTTCGCTCCTTATGTAATGAACACGCGGCTTTTCATGGATCCATCTACAGGCTTCAACAAGCAAGTAGGAACGGCAAGCAAAAATGCGACAGAGTTTTACGCTACTGCAATAGCAATGAGACTGTACGTGATCACCGCTCTTGAAAAGCGTCATCAACTAACGAGTGCTCTTCCTCAGCGTCTGTCACGCATTCAATGAGGTGGTCGTCACCGCCTTATACAAAGATGTCAATCTTCTTGTGAATATAAAGGGGGTTTCTAGACTCGACATGACATTGAATCAACATTTCCTCCCTCGTGTTCACCATATACAATCACTTTATCTATGGGGGAACTCCCATGGGCCCGATCCGTTGGAAGAATGTAACGTGAAATTTCTAAGAGAATGTACCAGTCTCACTTCTCTTGGATTGTATTTTTACCCGGTAAATTCCACGTATGTGTGGAGTGAGCTCGCTGATACGGTTCTCTACTTGATGAGCCTCGGGAAACTAACAATTCTAGGCTTCTATTCTCCAGAAATCGTCGGAGGAGGCAACACTTTTCATGATTACTGGACTGTGGCACATGTAATTGAGGCCATTTCGAAGTCTGCAACGGCGTCTTCCCGTCTCAAGAGTTTGGACCTGGCCGTTTGGTCAGTTCCAAACATGCGAGTGGACTGGATTCAATCTAAATTCTCCAAATTGGAATCAATTACCATCCGATGCTCACTTCCCGCCATGAGATCAATGGATCAATGGAAACCCTCTGCGTTTCTGACCAGGTTGCAACTAAACAACTGTGATCCTATTGCTGCATCGGACATTCCTGATCTCGTTGCATTGTTTCCTGCATTGCGTGAGCTGACGGTGGCCGATCCTTACCCAAGTCCAAACGAGCGACCCTTTTACGAACGGTATCCGGGCTGGCACCTCCTTCCTAGCGCCCTCTGCAACACGCATCGACGGCTCGACTGGGTCCACTGCGACCACTTGTATGCACACGAGATTCAACTCATGGGCCTGATACCGACAAGGACGTTAATCGTCACTGGGGTCGAAGCGACGGAGGTCGCCCGAGTATTGGAATCGGATCCACACATTTTCCCTGGAGTAGAAGTCCTTTGGAGGGAGGTGTCGATGGAATATCCGGAGACGATTGCCCAACACCCCTTTGCCACTGACGCTTTGAACAGATGGTGTGCAGCCCGAAATATTGAGGTGATCGAAGGGGCCAAAGGAGCTTATGGCTCTTATTCTTCTGGTCTGTATCTATAGTAGCGTTTGACCGACAAGAAACAGAAGAATAGTCCTATAGTACGTAGACTTACTAGTATGCAGAGTAATAGAGTTCCTTTCCGAGCACATCTGAAATCATTGTCCGATGTGAATAATCCAAAGAATGCCAGGATAATATCCTTTATACGTCCTAGGGATGTATCACCTTGGGCGATGGTGCGTCGCCCTGGATGGATATGATCGAGGAGGAAATATTGGTTCAGAATTGTATTCATGCTTGGGAGATACTTCCTATCCACAAGAAGTGAGATATCCCTATAC